ATCAACGGGAAACAGCGCGCCAACCCTAAAATACACTAAATATATTTATTAATATTTTATGATATTAATGTACGTTTTGTTATACTAATTATTATAATAACTAAAATTAAGGATTATATCTATATATATAAATATATATTTATTTATTTTTGTAACTATACCGTCCCAATGTTTTTCAGTACAATTTTTTTAAAGATCCTTTTTACTAGCATATATATTATGTAAGCAGATTTACGAAAATTTGATTTCTTGAAAAAAAATCCTTCTCCTTTTGCCCTTTCCAAATAGCTTATAATAATAAATTGTGACTACATCAATTAAAAGAAGTTGTATCCTATCTAAATACAACTTTCATAGGCTATTCTTAGATTTAGACTTAAAACAATATATTTTGGGCCAATAAGATCTAATCTTAAGTACAGTTATGGATATTAAGATTATCTACAGAAAGATATATTTCGATGGCTGCCATTTCTTCAAATTTACGCAAGTTTGATAAAAGAATAAATAATAAACTTTTTAGTATACCTACACAGGTGCATATCCAAGGGGGGCGAAGAATGCGCCCCCATCAATCCCAAAAAGTAGGTTTTTGTTATGTATAATATAATATAGTATAATATATTGGGTTTTCGATTATTTTTCGAAGTTCATTACATCTACTAACTAAAGTACTATAAAATTACAAAAAAATAAAATAATATAATTTTATATTTATTGTGTAGTGACAAGTGTTAAGAGTTAAGTTATTACTGTGCCCCCTCCGTAAAACATTTCTGAATCCACCCCTGCACCTACATCGATGTAATTTTTCTAGACGTTTAAGTTTAAATAACTCAGATATATTCTAACTTCAATCCACCTTAAATTGTAATTAATAATAATAAAAATACAAGTATAGCAGATGAATAAATAATACCCTCTTTAAATGGAAAGGATAACTCCCCAATAAAATAATTAAATAATTTAAAAAAATTTGTATTGGCTATTTTCAGTATTTTCAGTAACTTTAAATTTAACTCTCAAAATATTATTTATACTTAACACTCGGTTTACCGGTGCCTTATGGAAATTGCAAAGACAGTCCAGACATCCTAGACTACCACCGTATACACGTTAATGTTTATACTATAATACAATTATACGATACATTAGGAAGACTTGATACAAAAGAAACAGGAGTTTTCCGTTTCCGCCAAAATAATATTGACCGTTTCCACCATAGCCCTTTTCAGCCAAAAACGAAAAAGGTACGATTCCCGTTTCCGCCAAAAGCCACCAAAAAAAGTTTGGAAACCATTGGTTTTAATTTTCAAGCAATATTGAATATATGTTGTGGTATGTGTAAAAGACATTAGTAATGTATACACTGATAATCGTCGATAACAGTACACTTCGATATACTGTATCATAGTTTATTTATTATTCGCACACAATAATTATCTGACAAATGTTAAATTCTTATACTTTCATTCAGTATCTGTTCTTTTTGCCACTAGAACACAAACGTTCTTACTTACTTACCGTTCTTAAAATGGAATTTGTTGTAAGTAAAAGAGGTAAAACAATGTTGATTTTTTGATGGGTTTAAATATGTTTTTGGTTATACATTACAAACAAATGTAACTCGGTAGAGATGTTTTATGAAAAGTTGTCGGTCCAATATTTTTGAAAAAGAAAAAGTAATACTTGCAACGGAATGTACGTTTTTTATCTACGAGTAAAATAAATATATTTATTTAATTATTTATTTATTTATGATGATATGTGTTTTTTCAAAACTCTATCGAGACAATATTTAATCTATCCTTGTTTTTTACTTTATAAATAGCTAAATAGAATGGACATACTATAATATATGAAGTTATGTAATACTTTAAAAACTCTAATATAATTAAACCTATATTCGACTAATATATTATTATTATCTACTTGTATTAAAATTTATAATGAAAGAATATGTAACAATTGTACATGGTTCCCAAACGTCTTATCACAAAAATTTTGGCAGAAACGGGAATCATACCTTTTTCGTTTCCGGTTATATAGGGCTGTGCGTAAATCAAGGAACCGGATTTTTGGCGGAAAAGGTACATGCCCAAAGAAATGTCAGCGTAAAATTTCGTTTTTGCACAATACAATAATTGTATAATCGAATAATATATGATTATAATTATTATAATCATTTATTATTCGTATAAACAGTTAGTTAACAGATAGTAAAGGCTCCTTTTTTCTATTAAAAAGAAGAAGATTATCCGTGGGTAGCGTTTTTATTTTTTCATAGACGAAATGGATTCAAAGTTAATTATGCGTTAGTATTTGTTAAATTTTAAGATAAAAAAAAATATTGAAATAAGTCATAGAAAATAAATAAAAACACTTCATAATAAATAATATTTTAATTTTAAAATTAAAATAAAGGGAACCTTTTTTATGAATTTACACTAAATGGTTTTGTTCTATATATTACAATTTTTCTGCCTCAAAATCGTAAAAAAATTATCACTTAATTTGTATATTCACGAACATATTTACGATCATACGTTACACAGTCACATATATGCGCACGTATTGTAGCATTGAAATCGATCCATGAAGCGTGATTTACACGATATTAATTTATTAATAAGTAGTGAACTAGTTTACTTAGACCTAATCTAGATTTTTTTTTTCGTGTTAGGGGGAGGGATCTAAGATGTTTAATAAATTTAAAAAATGTAACAAAAAGAAAATTTATAATTTTTTTATAAATATAATTTAAAATGAAAGTACCTCGAGGCGCCAAAAGTGACGATTTCCACATCATAACCATATCATAGTTGGGCACAATAAAATAATAATCAGCGTTTTTATTTCATAGCGAATGAACCACATGCATCACTCTATAAAACCACCAGTAATATTTTTTTTATAAATAATATTAGATATGATATAGTCTACATAGCAGTCTAAATGATTTATAAAATATTGAAAACATTTAGAGGAGTGTTCATGGATTCTCTCTCAGATACAGCCTTATAGTTCACTATCTGCTAGTAAAAAATCATCGTCGAATATCAGAATGCTAGTAAATTAGTAAACTATTTTACTAGCGTAGTAGCATTGATTATAAATAGTTAATTTTTTTCTTTATTCGTAATCATAGAATAAATGACATTTTTTTTTTATTCTTTGGTAATATACAATTAATTTTTGACTTGGAAAACAAAAGTACTTTGGTGGCTCTACATAAATTGCGTCACTATCTAATTAAAAACTAAACATAACTGTGTTCACCCCTTTATGATGCCCTCAAACAGGTTACCACAAACCAACGTATATTCCATAACTTATACTTATTTTCAAAGTTTGAAACATAACCGCAATATATAAATATAGTATGTTTGCTCTTGTCTAAAGAGACTAACATCAATCCAAAATTTTAATTATAACAAAAATAAATAAATAAATTACAGGCGTTTTGTGCAATGGCAATAGTTACGTGATTATGTATGCCAACAAAAAATATTGATATTGAGATGGCCGTATCTGGAGGGGGGTCCAGGGTGTCTGATGAATTTAAATTGAATTGAATTTGCACGAATAATATCATTTCTACATGACTCGTATACGATCCAGTGCCGTATTTAGTAATTTTGCGCCCCGACGCAAAAAAAAATATTGGTAATAATACGCCGTATTATTATAAATAACTTATGTTTATTGACATTATCATAATAAATTTGGGAACTGATATTAGGTATATTAATAATATTCTGATAGTTATATAGCTATAAATACATTAATAATATTTATTAATAAATTAATTACATTAACATTAATTTATGATACTGTTATTAAAAACAAAAAAAAAATAAATAATTTCAAAATAATTTTAAAAGTTCAATAATTCACAAGTGAGCAAATTTCCGATCACAAAATTTTGGCGCCCTCAAAAAACTGGCGCCCGGTGCAATTGTAACCGTGCCCCCCCCCCCCCTTAAATACGGCCCTGGTACTATCAATATCTAATCGATAGTGTGTTTTGTTATTGGCTAATTGGCAATATTGACAGTAATAAGTGCTTTAAATAAGGACATATATTTCTACATTATAGTCAAAAACAATTTTTTTAAATAAGTACTGAATTTATGTACAAAAAATATTTAAAGATGGGATTAAGCTTAAGTTTATCCCATATATCAGAGTTAACCACAACTAAACACTTTTATACTAATTAGTATATAACAGGGGCGCAATTGGGGAGAGCAGGGTGTGCACTTGCCACCCTGAATTTTTTTCATCTTTAATTATTGACCTAGGCGTCACTGATACATGGCCTTACCACTTTGGCCTTCAGTTTTCCAATATTTAATGTTGCGCATGCACCGCGGCTGTTCAGTAATCACTGCTAATCATAAATTTTGGCCTGATGGTGGGAAAAAATTGACCTCTTTAATTGCTTGCACACCCTTAAAAAAATTTAAATGGCGCCCCTAATATACAAGTCCGTGACCACAACGGACAACACCGAGCTATCCAAATATGACCTAGCAAAAATTGCAAAAATTAATAAAAATACCGTGGTATATTAATATATATAGAAATAAATAAAAAGCAGATGAGCTGAGAATCAACAAAAAAACAGCAAAAAAAAAAAAACTATAAAACCGTTCGTGAATATTGTGTAATTTCGTTAGAGTTTATTAGTAATTTGATTTATTTTTTTCATTAGTTTTAATAGTTTATACATTTCTTGTTGATCATAAATATTTAAATGTATAAATATAATAATATTATAAAATAATGATTACTCATTAAAATAATTTATTGTTGATCGATCAAAAATTGGACCATTGCAAAAAATAAAAGAAAAAAATAGTAAAACTATTATATAGTTTTATCGTTCTGTACACGCCTTTTCATATACATAGATAACGTTAAACGTATAATGATATCTGTTTTTTCGGGCAGCTGCTATTGATAAAATGCACTTGATAAGTGATAAAATAATATTTATTTGTTTCCTAATAAAATGTTGTTATTAAATTAAGGCTGTCATTGACTAACATTATCAGTTACGTAGTAAATGCGACGGTATATTTTATTTATGTACTCTAATAATGATAATAATATGAATGCCTAATGGATATGAATATATGTATATTTGTTATACGTAAAAAATTTGACATTATATTATTACCAACAGTCACGTTCGAGGATAAAAACAGGATTCGTCAAGTAACTTATTTCTTTTGATTTGAATATAATGCTAAACAAATAAAAGTGAAGTGAAACATTAACTACATTTGTGAAGTAAATTGTTTGATTAAAACCGGTTGAAATGGAAAATATAGACAGCAATCAACATCTGCCTTCATACAATCGAGAAACATCTGAGTACTTATATCCAATTATTTATTATTTGTAATGGAATGAACTTGAATGTATTTTGTATTTATTTATATATTTTTTTTTCATATAAACTCAATAGTACAAACATGTTGTAATATTGAACCTGTTAAACTCAAATTTATTTTATTTGCAAATATATTTTTGTAATCTCTTTAATTTTAATCAACTTTTCTACATTTTATGCTATTGAGTTAAATGCTGAATGCATATATGTATTCATTATTACAGTAAATACTGTGTATTTAAACTAATTATGCTTTAAAAAATTTAATTTTAAAACTAATACTAGATTATTTTATTATGTCCATTGACTTTTCTTTCTTCAAAAAAATACAATATTACATTGATGTGAGTTCAAAAATGATATTGATAAAGTTACAATTTTAATTTTTAATTTACATAAACTTGTCCTTTTTTCAAAAATAAAAACTATTGAAAATGTTTAAATCCATAAGTGCGATTTCTTTTTTTTTTTTAATTTATCTGAATTAAATCTACCCAATTCAAATTGATTTTGATGATTTTGGTTTGACTCATATAAAATATTTTACATTTTTTAGTTTTAATATCAAATTGTTCAATCCATCAGCAGTATAATTTCTAGTATAGTGATACATAAAATATTAATTAAGTATATTATTTCTTGGTTTTAGGCAAAAACATTGTTGGGTATGTTTTGGTACTGAAGAAGATGAGTTTGAAGGTGGCAGAGATTGGGTATCACCATGTAAATGTCGTGGTTCTACACGATGGGTAATATATATTATTTTTTATTTCTAGTTTTAAATGACTATTGAACAATACAACAGTGGTTCTCAAAATTTAAAATTAAGCTGCTCCCTTCAAAATCGATAAGCATTATTACACACTTATTACTGATTTAAATATAGGTTATATTGCAATTATATTGAATATACTAAATCTCATTGCTCTGAAAATTCTGAACACCCCTTTAAGGTGGAGAAACACCTCTACATATGTTCTTCAAAATATGTAATACAATGTTTCTAAAATTACCCTAGTTCCAATGTCAGTTGATAATAATTATGTATATATTTCTTAATCATAGAATTAATTTATTTTCATAATTTTCCAACTGAGGGTCCCTTAAATACTTCAGTTATTGTTCCAGTGACTACATTTATGTAAGTAACTTTTATTATTGTAGATAAATTGAATCTATTTATTATATTAACATACCTACATTTATAATTTTATTTGAACTTTATTAAAAAATCTTTGATCTGTTTTCAACTACATTACCTATAAAATGTATGACCACCTTAAAAAATAGATATAATTTAAGAATGTAAAAAAAAAGTATATAATTGCTTGTAGGTATGTATGAAATAACTGTTAGGTTATTCAGAGTTTTTTTTCCTGTAATGGTAATTATGAAGCTATCTGACACTTCTATACTAATAGTCAAATATCCTTAATATATTAAAATAATTACTAGAGATTTAAATCTTATATAGTCATAAATTGTTCAATCATATCACAATTATATATTGATTCATATGATAACTAATAAACAAAATAAACAAATAAAAATATAATTATTTTAGGTTCATCAAACTTGTGTCCAACGATGGGTTGATGAAAAACTAAAAGAAAATGTTCATGTTAAAGCTCATTGTCCTCAATGCAACACAGAATATATAATTTTGTACAATGAAGTCAGTAAGTATTCTAAAACAATAAGTGTTTGTATTTGAATTTAATATATTTATTCATTTATTTTTATTAAGAATATTATATTTTACTTAGGTCAAAATTGTATATTATTTCAAATGTATTAGCTTTGTTGTTTAACTCAAATGCATTGATCTAAAACTGTATTACAAACTCTTAAATTATTGTAAACTACTAAAATATGTATAATATATGTTTTATTGAAAGAAAATGAATATAAAACATATAGGTATATGATATAATATAAATTGTAGATAAAAAATATGTATTAAGTAATTCTCTTCTTCTCCTTCACATTTCCCTTCTTTTTTCCCCATCTACGTTCAATTCATAAAAATGAATTTATTTTGTAATTTGTTGCATAAGATTTATTGAATATTTTTATTTGACATCTATACAATATTGATCACAATTTAAAACAATATTTAATGTATGATTTTATACTTTTTAGATTTCTTTGTTCAAGTATTAAATAAACTTGACAAAACAGCCAATCAGTTATGTCCGTTTGTAGCTGCTGGTGTTGTTGTCAGTACTATTTATTGGTCAGCAGCCTCTTATGGAGCAATAACTGTGATGCAGGTTATTAGAAATATAAATATAATTACTTAGATAGTATTTACAATTAATAATTTTTTAGGTAATGGGTGAACAAGAAGCTATATTATCTATGGAAGAAACAGACCCATACATATTGCTTTTGATACTACCAGCTATACCTCTCAGTCTGATTTTAGGAAAAACAATTAATTGGGAAGAAACTTTACTCCTGCTTGTACAACGTTTTACTTCACAATTGCCTTTGTTGAGAACTATTTTGCCAACATTTTTGTAATTACTTATCATTTATGCTAACATTAATCTGATGATTTTTAATTTTAAACAATGTATTGCTTTAAGATGTGAACCTGCTAATACATCAACTAGTTCAGTTCAATTTAATCAAGTTATTAACCCAACAACTACTCTTTGTGCTGCTCTTTTATTGCCAACTACTGCAACCATAGTTGGAAACATATTATTTGACAATAGCTCATACTCAAATTTTCAAAAAACAATACTAGTTAGTATAACTATTAAATTAAATAATTATATTAGTGATTTCTTTAAAAATATTTTAATTTTAGGGTGGATTAGTATATATTGCAGTCAAAGGTGCATTGCGAATTTATCAAAGACAGCATAATATTATAAAAGAAAGAACTCGAAAAGTTGTTGATTATCCAGAATCTGATGCTGAAGAAAACCATTCATAATTTATGTGGAAATTATAAATCACTGTTGGCATCACTAAATCTATTTTAAAATTGTATAAAACATTTAATTTGTATAAACCTAAAAAAAAAAGTTATTAATAATAATTAGTAAAATTTGTAAAAAGAAAATCTAATCTTTTAATTGTTACTTAATTATATTTTGTATTATATAAATATAATTTTATATGATATTAGTTTGTAAAAAGTGTAATAGACAAATATTTTGATGCAAAATATTATAAACAAAGCTATTATATTTATTCTAAATCCATTATATTAAAAAATTCCTGATTTTATCGTTATTATTTATTTAAATGCATGTAACACATATATATTTCATTTTATGAAATTTTTTAATATGAAAAAACACTAAATACTTGAAACAAATCTAGTAACAACATTATGCTTAGAAGTTTAATTATTTAGAACCAGAGCCTGATTCAACACAAATTCCATTACAACTCTCACACCAATTTTTTTTTTTTTTTTTTTAATTCAGTGTAAAATATGCTACTATTAGGGCATATTTTACCAAATAACATGAATGAGTTCTGTATGTGTCAACAACAGAGCCGCGTTAAGGGGGCAATTGCCTCCAATCGCCGTAGTTTTGTAAAAGTAAGGGGGCACCTTTATCTGTACTTACGAGTTATATGTTACCCATGCCCAGTGGCCCCGAAGAAAAAATTTTGCCCCGAGGCGCTGAAATGTTTGACACGGCTATGGTCAATAACCAAAACTATAGCAAAACATAGCAATTGAAAAATATTGCCAATAAAATAATACTCAAAAGTAGTTTAGGCCTGAGAAGCAAATATACTGAGGGACTGAGACAACACATTGTAAATATATTTATGATCACCAGAAAGCATAGGCATGCGCAAACCTCTTTTCAGGGTATGCAAAAGGCTGCCACTGCCTACCCCCCCCCCCTAAACTGAAAGTTAATTTAAGCGTTCGAAATTCTGGTCTTAATAACTATTTAATTTAAAATTTTAATTTTTTTTCCTGAAAAAAGTGACTGAATAGCCATTTCTTAATCGTTATATCTGTCTTCATAATTAAAATTTAAAATAAATTACGAAAAAAAAAAATTAAATACATAGCACTTGAAATAATTTGAGTAATACGTTTAAATACGTAAATAAATAAAAACGTAATTATATACTTAAATGAAAAACAAAATAAATTTGATAAATAATCAAAATGAATCATAAAACGATTCTGCGTATAGTTAAGTTCTTAATATCACCAATAATGTTTTCGCGATTTTAATTTATAGCCATTTCTTGTTCTGTAGTTAATAGCTATTTAACCTCGCTTGAATTATTGTACTTCTTAATTTCATAAACATATTAAATCGTTATTATAGCATATGATTTGTGTTTCAAAAATAAATTAAACTGTCTGGGACTGAATATAAAAATATAATAAAAATCATAATGTAATACAAAATCACATAATATACATAAGATAATACATAATATGTCATAATTTTTATTTATTTTTTGTAATTTTAGAAAGAATGCTCTATGTTTAGGGTATGCAGTTGCATACCCTGCATACCCCCTGCGCACGCCTATGCCAGAAAGGTTCATTCGAGTATATATTAGTATGTTTTTGGTTGTAGTACATGTGTTTTACTGAGAGTCTTGAATTTAATATTTACATCATAATTAAAACATCTATACATATTTGTTGTTAATCATGTTTGAGTACCTAGTTAGTACTCCATTTACTTTATTTCATTTGAGAATGGCTTCATCGTTTTTAAGGATTAAGAATCAAATAGTATAGTAATCCTACAAACTCTTGAGAATCAAATTAAAACCAATACATTCATTATCTATAAAACCTTAAGTAGGTATACTTTTTAAAAATTTTAAAAAAGCAAGATTAATATTATTGAAGAAACGTAGGGGGGGGGGTAGAGAGGTATAGATCACATTCTTATTAACTTCAAAATAGTAAGGATGTGTAGTTCATGAGCTATTCGACTCTTAAAAATGAACTGAACAAGTCGAATCAGTGTTACAAGAGTTGGCGACTCAGTGACTCACTGACTCAGTTAAACTCACAACTCACATCTATACTACTGTAGGTAGACGACTCTCGACTCCCTTGATAACGGTTTGCGAATCCAAACGGAAAATGTAATACCAACTAATTTAACAATAGTTCCCCTCAGATTTGGTTATTAATATTTCCATTGTTTCTTAAAACAAGATTTCTGACATTCTGAGAAAAATTTGTAACGTTGTACACTTATAGTCAAAATTAGTTTCATATGCGATAAGTTATTTATGAATATGGACTGTGAACTTGTCAATCAAATCAAAAGTTGAGACTTGAAGAGTTGATTAGAGTAGTTGTAATCTGATTCAAACATAGAGTTGAAGAGTTGGGAGTCGACTCTTTGATTCAACTCATTACAATGAAATGAGTTGAAAAATTCAGTTCAGCAGAATAAGTTGGAATTTTCATCCCTACAAAATAGTATTATGTTAAGATCTCAGTATTTAAATTATAACAGTAGTACCTATTATTATAAATAAAAGTTTTAACAACAGATTTAATAAAAGCTACCAACAGTGCTGGATCTAGAGGAAGGGGGGCAATAAGTATACTTGCCTCATGCACGGTTGGTATAAGGGCGCTCTTAAGAGGGCGTCACACCCACATGTGTTGTCTCCGTCTGACATACGTACAACATAGCATTTTTGCGTTCAGTAGTTCAAATGTAGTGATGTTAGCTTTAATATTAGAGTAAACTGGCCTATAATCAAACTTTAATGGAAGAGCATTATCTGCGTTTTGTTGGTCGGTTTTTCCGATATTTTAATTTTTAAACGTGTTATGAGCATATAAAGTTAAAAAACAACTCATTAAAAATGTAAAATATAAAAATAAAACCGCCAACAAAATACCTACAGATAATGTTTTTTTCTTAAAGTTTGATTATAGGTCAGATAATTTTAATATTAAAGTTAACTTCACTACATTTTAACTACTAAACGTAAACTTACAATGTTGTACGCATGTAAGACGGAAACAATACATGCGGGTATGAAAGTTTATGAAAAATAGAACTTACCCCATACTTTCACCAACTTAAAGGTGGTACGTTTTAATTAGCTCCAGGTATTAAATTTCCTGAATTTGGCGTTCTAATCAAATTTCTTTTAATGTTTTTGAAACTATTCGTAAAATTAAAAATATTTTTTTTTGAAGTAAGTAACATCTGTATCCAATATTATATTAATTTGTTACGTGAAACTCGTGAGTGAAAATGTATTATTGTACATAATATACATAATTGTTATTACCTATATTTATTAAAACCGATATAGTGCAGTTTAATCTTTTCTGCAAATCCATTAAACAGTTGACTCAACCTGATGGTTTTTTATGCAAATTTTCCGTAAATGGTTTAAAATTAAATACATATACAACCGACTCATATCGCAAAACTGTAAAATTTTTGAAAGAAAAAAAGTCAACTCAAAGATGAAAAATCATATAGAGTGGTAATAAGGCACCTCCATCATTCTATGCCTGTCGACACTATAAAAGAGGAATTAAATTCCAAAGGTTTCACTGTGAGGAATATCATTAACGTTCTGCATTATCAAACTAAAAAACCCCTCCCACTCTTTTTCGTGGACTTGGAGCCTTCACCATCAAACAAAGATATTTTTGCAATAGACACGCTCTATTACACAAAAATAAAAATGGAAGAGCCACGTCCCAGACGCAACCTAATTCAATGCACGCGCTGCCAGTCCTATGGCCATACCCAAGCATACTGCAATCACCAACCTAGATGTGTGAAATATGGCGATAACCACCTATCAAGTAAATGCAAGAAAAATAAGGACTCTCCTGCAAGCTGTGCCTTATGTACTCAACCAAACCCAGCCAACTATAGAAGGTGTCAAAGTACATAAGGACCTCCAAAAATTCAACCGAAACTCCGCACCAAAATCCACCTCGCGGGATCAAAATTCCAAACCAAACTTCGTCTTAACACTAAGCTCTTCAAAAGATTCATCCACCAGGTCGTGTCAAGCCAGATCAACGGCAATGAAAAACCATCATACGCCTATAAAACTTCCAAAAGAAACACACCCTCAAACTCGGACAACCATGATTCAACAATTCCGCAAGCCCATCTCTAGCATCTTTCCTCGAAGAATTTAAATCACTAATAACCCCTCTCATTTATCTTCTTACATCACTAATTACCAAATTTTTCAGTCGTAATGATAAATAATGCAACAAATATTATTCTCTGGAATACAAATGGCTTATCCCAACAATAGACAGAGCAAGCTTCTGTCACATTTGTAGAAATGATCCAATCCGCGGCCAAACTGTCCTCGCGCCCAAGTAACAACTATTCCACCACATCGAACACAATTTTGGATAAATACCACCCGATAACCCACCCTTTTATCGCCATATAAGCCTTCTATCTATCGTAGGAAAACTATTTGAAAAAATACTACTAAAAAGAATTACAAAAATTGCCACAGATAATAAAATTATATCTGATTTCCAATTCGGCTTCAAATCTAAACACTCCACAATCCACCAACTGCATCGAGTCGTCGATCAAATCTCATTAACATTCGAGAGCAAAAAAATCTGCATTGGTATTTTCCTAGATATCACACAGGCTTTTGACTTAGTCTGGCACCCTGGCCAACTCTTTAAATTAAAATCCTTCTTGCCTGCTCCTTACTACCTACTAATTAAATCTTATCTAAACCAACGAACATTTGTCACAAAAATTAATGGTGCCTTATCCAACTCTCAAATAGCATTTGTTGGTGTTCCCCAAGGCAGTGACATAGCTCACTTCCTATTCAATGTCTTTACCAGTGACCTACCTCTAAACGAAAACACGCTACTTGGTACGTTCGCGGATGACACTGCTATTTTTGCTACTGACAATGATCCCATCCAAGCTGCCCAAAAAATCCAAAACCACCTAACTGTGCTAAACACCTGGTTTCACGACTGGAAAATCCAAATTAACCCATCAAAATCCTCTCAAATTACTTTCACACTTCGATCCTTAGAATGTCCCGCACCCTTTATCGGAAATGCACAAATTCCATCTTTCACACAAACTAATTATTTGGGTTTAATTCTTGACAAACGCCTTATATGGGGTCCACACTTAAAAAAACAAGCGTAAAGCTCTCAATTCAAGACTCCACCTTCTCAGACCCTTACTCCGCTCAAAGCTCTCATTAAAAACTAAAAGAACAATATACATGGCTCTTCTAAGACCCATGTGGTACTATGGCATACAACTTTGGGGTTCAGCCAAACTCTCAAATACTTGAACAATTCAGGTATTTCAGTCTATTTGCCTACGTCTAATATCAGGTGCCCCTTGGTATATTATCAATGAATCACTTCATAAAGACATCTGCATTCCAATCTTAAACAGCCTTGTCAAAATCACCTACATAAAAACACACAAAACATTCAGTACTCACTCTAATCCTATAATCACCCAACTGTCATCCAATCAAATTCCAAGTAATCCATCAAGGCGTCTGAAAAGAAACTGGTGTAGAGACCTACTCTCCTTGGATCGCTTCCCACAGGGTGTCGCCACTGGGCAACTTCCCCCTCCTGTAAATCAACCCCCTTCACATTTACTTATTGTATAACTTGCAAATACAGATTGTAAATATTATGTTTTGTTCAATAAATAAATAAATAAATAAAATAAACAATTATTATTATGTATTATCCGAAATGCCATAAAAAAAAAATCATTGTAAAATTAATAAATTGCAATTAGTTTTTATTTTTCATTTAAACATTGATAATGATGTGGTGTAAATTTTCCCCGGCATGTACTGTATAGTCACAGGTGACTATCATCAGCAAGGCTTGGAACTTCAGACATTTGCTTATTCGTTTAAAAAATGCATATTGAAATTCTGGGGCGATACAAATTCAATCCACAGTACCTACACAAATTTCAAATTCAAAAAATTTTGTTCACATATTTTGTTGTTTTTTGTAGAAATTCGCATAATTTAGGTTCCAGAATTTTATATGCATATTTTAAAGATTTAACGAAATAGTTTTTTAAATTTTAGTTAAACAAAAAATATTAGATACATATATGCAGGGCTGTTGTCAGCGAAAGGGCAACGGAATCATTATGCCCCAATATAGGTCTAGGTAAATTTAAAGGGACCCTCTTAAAGTCCAGATGGGCGATTGTAAACTCGGCCCAAGGAATAAAAGTTTTCAAAAGGTCTATTGTAAACTCGGTCCATGTTTTTTTCAAATAAAAATAATTTAAGTGAAAACTCGGCCCGGGGTTTTTGCAGGTAAAAATAATTTAGGTGTAAACTCGGCCAAGATAAAAATGTATATTTGTATAATTTTCTTATATTTTTGAGAACCATTTAGCATTACCCAGAGGACACCACGAGGAGACGTTGTATATATTCTTTTTAACATACTGAATATCACTTGTAGATCTTGCGCGTTAGGTACATTGTTTACTGCACTACAAAAAATTTTGTTTGGCTTATTGCAGATATCCTCAGTTCCTTTGCATTTGGCCACGGTGGTAACACATTGTCGTTGTAGTACTTGGTCCCTGATAGGTTCAAGCAGATGATCATCATTTTTCTCTGTAATATCATTATTTGTTCCAAACATTTTTAAAAAAGCTGTACATTTGCGGTTTATACATCGCCATTTTATTTCACTAGTAAATATTATCGGGCCGAGATTACAACCGACCTTTTTTATTACCTGAAATTTCTAGGTCGAATTTACAACAAAAAAGGCAATCGCGAGCCCAGTTTATATTTGCCCGTCCAAATTGATTAGAAATACTCGGCATTTTCCATTAGGAATTAATGATATTAATCAATTATTTCTAAACTATTTTTCTGTATGGAATAATACATTTAATAAAATAAGATTAACTTAAATTTATGTATACAAGTTAAATTTTTAGTTATTCTAATTTCTTAATGTTTACAACTGTACCTAATTAATAACGATTATTGCCAGAGAGTGAAGAATGGCATAATTTTATCCAAATTCACGTAGAAATTTATTATCGCAAATATAAACGCGACATCATCCAAGTTCTTATTTGCTATGACTGTTAATAAACTATTTAGTAATAAATTTAATTTTCATTAAATGTGGTACTTAACTGGTAATTTAGTGTTGAAAAGTTATTAAATATATAATTCAATGTAGCCATACATTTAAATAACCTAGATTGGTTGAAGTTTGAAAAACTATATTTACCAACAATTTGCAAACTTGGTATGTATTTTTTTATCATACTCATATATTATTGTGATTATTTAGGGGTCCTCGAATTAATATGCCCCAAGCCCTAAAAATCCTTAGGACAGCTCTGGATATATGATAACTGAAATTCTAAATTGTATATCTCTTAACAAAATAAATTAACTCATCAATGGCTAATTTGGTATTGCTCCCAATGCACTTGACAATATTATAATCTCAATTGTACTGAGACATCGTAAAAGTGATCGTCGGCAGGCCCGAATTTATTTATTATTTAATTTTACTTTTTAGTAGGAACTCAAGAAAATTAAAATTTGATGGAATTTGTACAGCAAGAAGACAGCAATACACAACAGTGCAGTTGTTATGTATAACTTATGTAAAATGTTATTATGTAAAAAAAAAATAGTGTTAGTTAATTAATTTTTTCCCCGTGTACCTAAATTTGTGTAAATTATATTTTATTCAATAAATTGCTTATTTTTGAATATTTTCCAATTTTTCACTGCATATTATGTTTTTTAACGCATATATTTGAGTACATTTTAGCTTATAAAGTTCCAAGCCTTAGTCATCAATATGATTTTCTACTAAAAAATATTCTTGTGACTCATTCCTGTAATTTCATTTAAATGCATAACACCATGTCTCTTCTCAAACCTACTTTATTTAAAGTAACATTTTCTCATTTTAATAGAGTGGTTTCGTAACAGAACTAAATTTAAATATATTAAACTTGTTAATAATAGACTTTTTTTGTCTTGACAATATAGTTAAAAAAAAATGTTAATAAAAAATAAAATAATTAATTTCAACAATTAAGTTTTTAAATAATCGATCAAACATTTCATTTTTAATACATAAACAAAACAAATATCCATATAGTTTACATTAATGTCTCCAGGAAAAAATATACTTAGAAATACAACTAAATATTTAAAATAAAACACATTTTAAAACCAATTTTATAAATTAAAAAATTCAAATAATAAAAGAAATTATAAGTACATTGGTCGAGTGTAAGTTGTTTAAATACATATATGCATAAATATCAGCTAATAATTAATAACAATAAAATGTCTGTATTAATAGGTAAGTATTTAGTTTATAACCAAAATAATAACAAACTAATATAGTACTTTGTCAATGCAACTAAAACTACAGAACAAAATATTTATTTAATTTTTTCATTAAATACTGTAAAAACTAAAAAACAAAAGTCCCACCATTTTTTAATATTATATATTATAATTTATAAGTAAAATTATTTTGTATAGATACTGATGACTAGTTGTCCTAGAATAATATTGTTTTATTTTATATGATGTATAAATGTATATGGAAAATGTAAAATATTAAGTTTTAGATTCAAGGCATATACTAAATTGAGGTCCAGTGTACGGAGCTGTATCACTCCAATAATCTTTGGGGTCTGATACAATTGCTAGCGTTATGTCTTTAGATATATTTACTTCTTTAAAGTATCGGCAACATCGCTTCCCTACTTCTGGAATATCAGTTTTATATGGTGGAGCTAGTATATCAACAAAAGCAGCTGGACCATCTATAGTGTCGACTTGGTGAATATTTCCTTCAACAGGACATAACACACATGGATCGTCCGTTTCTCCCACAATAATCGGTGCTAATTTTATAGCACTAATATTGCAGTCACTATAAAAAAATGTATATAATATAAAATAAATAAATAAAAATAAATTTAACATTAATTAATTTACTTTAATTGGCTATAATCCTTTTGCTTAGGTGTATAGCTTTGTATTTTTACTTTACCGTAGATGACTTTCAATACACCATACATATATGGATGGTCATGTAGAGGTATTTTAGCACCATCTCTCAACACAAAAACTCCAATTGACACATTTTGGTCTTCAAACACTTCAATATAAGTAACAGGTGCTTGGTGGCGACGTATAAATGTAGATCCAGACAGTTGATCAAGGCTATTGTTCAATTCAAATGTGTCCCATCGCAATAATCTAACATCTAAGGCAACAGACCGCGCATCCAATTCATTGGCAATTCGTTTCAATTTAACCAAGTTATCATGAAAAGTTTTTGATGTATATGAACCAGAAAAAGTAGTAAGAGCTTGTCTCAGAACACATTCGATTTTCGATGCCATAGTGTAAGCGCACAAATCTACAAGAATATTATTTATACTTTAGCAAACATAAATGCGTACCGAAAACTATACACGTAAATATAAGAATAATACAGTAATGGTTTTTGTTTCGAATTCAGTGTAGAAATTATCCGAGAAAGAAAAATCAACATGAAGTTCGATGTACTGTTAAGTGTGAAACTTATAACAGGAATAGATATTAGACAATAGTAATGTGTAATAATTATTATAGTAATTTACAAATTGATATTTCAAATTTATAATATTACTATCACGTTCTTCCCAAACCATATTATCTTATCAACAAAATTATTTATCGTCGAATAGGATAACGTAAATATTATACACGTTCTGAGATTTGACCACAGAATAGATTTTAATTATTTTCTAAGAACTTCTGAAAAATGTTTTTCGTTTCAAATTTTCTTCGAGTGGAATAAATTCTTTTAAATAGCTTTACTTTATACAAATTTAATAGTTATAATGTTTTTGTAGTAAGAAATCTACTTACTGATCAAGTAAATGATTTCAGAGCAAACTTAATTAGAAATAATACATCTTCAAATAGGTACTTGGAAATTTTTATTTGTTATAGGATTATGGAATGAATAGTACTTCCAATTTACACATTTAAAGATTTCTATAAACATATATCATAAACTAATGGAACTACATTAAAGTCAATTTTATATGATTCTTCAATTACCGAGCATAATATATCCTATCATTGTTGATTATAACTTTGACATCCACAATAAGAGATATAGCTTACCTCCAATCATTTTACAAAACTAATTAAGCTAATAGTTATAATACAGAAAATCATTCTTGATCCATCCCTAACCATTACAGTCAGTACCAATTTATTGAATAAAACTTATAACCTTTGCATGTGCTTGGTTGAAACAAATATTTATTTGTTGAGCATAATTTATGTTTGAAAAAGAAAAATAACTAACTCATTGTGTTTCAAGGAGAATAAACTGAAATAGGTTCAGTGTGTGACTTACCTGCCCAAGAAATTAAGTTAAGTTTTTTTCTTGCTAACTTTGTTTAATTATTTTACTGATCCTATAATATATTACGTCCCAAAAAATCCTGTATTACTACGGAAAATCACTATACTTCAATTATTATTTAATTGCATAAATTTCTCAATTTTTGCAACAATGCTATTAATATAATAGGTCTTTTAAGTGTTCAAGGTAACCATTTTTTATATCATATAAATATTATTAAATTATTGTAATATATATATGTGACGGCTAAAGTCCGAAACATGACTAAAGTGCACATTATTCGGATGTTGTGCTCTCTAGCCAAACTGGCTGGATAAAGTAACTTTAATCATCGTGTTATGGAATGTAAGTTAAAAATTAAATATTAATTAACTACATTTGACGCAATATTAAATTTATTTTTATTATTATTTATTTAAACACGGTAAACTCTTATGAGATCTTGAATCGCATAGAACACCCAATATTTTGCATTTGCATTTATTTGTTTTGCAATTTGATTTACACGCACAACACTGACTTTATTATTATTTAATTGTTAACTTATATCGTTGATTATATATTACAATATTTGATATTATACTATCAATGCTTATATTAATTAATTTTATTGAAATACAATATAATTATGGAATTATTAATATTTTACATTAGCTATAACACGATGACTAAAGTTACTTTAGCCGGGTAATATGTAAAAAACTATGATTTTTGATGTTAATTGTTTACTTTATCCAATCAGTGTGGCTAGAGTGCACAATATCTGACTAATGTGCACTTTAGCCATGTTTCAGACTTTAGCCGTAACATATATATATATAATGACAATCTTAAAAATTTAAAAACTATGTATAATATTTTTAAATTTTTTTAAACTTATGCTATCCAGTTGTAACTTTCTATTTTAGCACTGTAAAAAATTCACATTTAAATATACTGATATTCTACGAAGATCCTAGGGTGATAGAGTGATCCAGAACTTTTAGGTATTGTATTAATATTATACTAATTCATATGCTTGCCATCTATTCCGGTTTAATGGCATGTCCTGGCCTATCATTCAGTTTTTCCTGGTTAATAGAAGCTAAGAATAAATAACATTTAATATTGTATTATTTAATAATAAAAACTAATATAATAATATTATATATTATATCATTATATAATGGTTATTTAATTGGCACGGTTATATACAATAATAATGTATTATTGTATTAGCTAATGAATATTAAAATTACAAAATTATATACTTATTTTTGTTTCTATAAGAACATTACAGAAAAAAAAAAGGTCATTGAATATGATATCCCAATTTAGGAATTTCAAAATCTGATAACCCTACTAATACAGATATTTTATCATAAATAGTAACACTTTACTGGAAATTATATAATTATAATTGTTAGTTGGTTTAAAATAATTGTTTTGTATAACCTATAACATATAACTTTAAATTTATTTTAGTTAAATTTGTATAAATGCTGAAATTTTATTTCAATATGAGTCAATAATATACATACAGAATACGAAAATAAAAATAAAATTATAATTTGAAAAAAATGCAAAAAAGGAAAATGGGGTTATAATATATACAATAATAAGTCACATTAAAGATTTATATTTTATTTTGTTCTTTGAATAATTATAGTTAAAAAAAAATTAAAATTCTAAGTATATAAAACATCTAAGAAAATATATTATTATTAAAAACAAGTTCTAAAAATATTTTCTCATTAAAATATATACTAATCTACAATTAAAAAAAAAACGAGTTTTAAATATTTTATTATATTATTTTAATAATCAATTTTAAGAAAACACTTGATATTATAAGTACCAAGTGTGTAAATAAAATGTACTAAAATGTACTCATGAAAAAACTAAAAAGTATTTTATTTTTATTTATTCCTACAAACTGCAAACACTTACACTATTGGATAAGTCTACTTTCCCTTTCAATGTTTTTTTTTGGAGTCTCTGTAACAAAAAATATTATGTATAATTATTTATTTAATTTAAATTAAAACATTATCTAATAACCTTATTAAATATGTTTGCCATAATTTTATTTGTTTTATAATCTTCTTTTCGTTTAATTTCTACTTTTTTATTTTTAACTTCAGGACATTTGCGATATTTACGTTCAGTCTGCTTTCTCATTTCTTTTTGACTCATTATTCGTTTAACAGCTAAAACCAAAAATGTATGTAATTCTAGTCACATGAAATTGTTCTATTTTAATTACCCAATGGATTAGGTGGAACATTAATCTCAAAAATATTTGTTGCTAACATATCTCTTTTTAATTGTTTGCGTTTTTCTCTTAAATTTGCTATGCTAGATAAGATGTTTTGTCTTTCTTTTGCACGATTAACATAATCTGGGCGATTTATCATTAAATAATCCTAAAAATATTAATGAAATTATTTAATCAAATTGATAAAATCAATTATTAATATTCAAATAAACATCTACAAGAATTATAAACAATAATTTTTCCTATACATTTTAGTATGAACTTTTTTTTCAGTACTTAAGTATTTACTGTAATTTAATTTAAAATCAATACCTGTAAACTTGCTTTAGGCTCCAATAGGACTTCATTAGTTTGACAAGCTACTGATATCGAATGTTTTTGTTGTTTTGGTTTATATTTTACCTATAAATATATTAAATCCATTAATTAATATCCTATACATTAGGTATAATTTATCAAATCATACAGAGTCTGTTTTCTTTGAACATCTTGGGGTGGGCTTAAATACTATTTCATAACTTATAGAACTTTTAGAACTATTAACTAGTTTTGATTCATGATCAATTGTATAAGTTGCACCACTTTTTTGAGACCAACTCTTTTTATCATTTTCACAATTTATTTCATTCTTCGTTTTTGCTGTACACCAAGTTGTTTTTATTTTATTAATACTTTGTTTTGGTTTTTCATCAATAAAATTGAGAGTTTTTAAGCAACATTTTTTCAGAGAATTTGGCTTATTAACTGGAATGCCTTTTTTATAATGAACATGATCACAAACAGTTGTTGAAGATTCGACATCAGTATCATCACATCTAGAGGAAATTGAAAATGGCTTGGAAGAAATAGTTGAATCTGATTTGGTTGTTGTGGTAAAATCTGAACTTGAATTCGATACTGGATTACTCCTAATATATTTTGAGAAGTATATTAACATAATTATAGCCAATAATGTATACATTGAATGAGAATACATTAGACTGAGATATTTAATATTAAGTTACTGACCTGAACTTAGATTTATTTGTTGTTGTTTGTTTCTGTTTATATGAATTCCAATTTTTTTTTAATTCTTCATGAGTAATAAATAATCTGATAAACACACACATTTTAAAACTTAGAATAATAAAATTAATTCAATCAAGTAATTATTAAGTAATTTTGTTTTCGTATTACAACATAATTGTGTGGGGCGAATAGAAATGACTCTAGACATAAATGTTTTCCTTAAAGGTACATGTTTCAATAATGTATTTAAATACATAGGAACTATTACATTTGTAATGATTGTGACATACTAATAATAAACCAGTATTATTTATATTGATTTATTTAAATTCATTTATATCTTTAATGAAAATAGCGAATCATAAAAAATGTATGAAAACATGAAACATTAAAAATATCAGGAAAAATGTATTATTTGAATTAAAAACAAACCTTTTTAAATTATTTAAGTGTGATATTTGATTGTTAATCCAAAGCAATTGATTTTCTCTTTCTGTTTTCATATAATTTGTATGAAACCAAATCATTTGTTTCTTGAATTCCTTATTGATATCTTCAGAATTTTTTTTATCTATTATCATAAAATATTAATACAAATATTCATTAAAATAACTTAATTATGAAACTTAATATGGCTATTAAATAATGGATATGTCTCACCATTTTTTTCATTTTTCCTTGATACATTTGATTTATTTGATAAAGAATGTTTTGAGTATTCATTTGAACTGATATTTGTTGAGCTATTTTGAATTGAACACTGTACACCTTGATTTTTTTTAGACTGTAAAATCATTGTATCAAAGAAAAATTAAAGGAAGATTAAAATTATTACTAAATTTAGATATTTTTAAATTTTATTCACTTTAATATTTTATTGTATGTACAAAATAATAATACACTTGTTATAAATAGTTTATTTTAAAATATTTGGTTATTTTGAATTCAAGATAAAACTATGTACACAGGTTAAATAAAATTTATTTTATTGTTTTATTTTATCTGTGCTATGTATTTCCATACTGGATATTTTATCTGTGTAAATAATCAATTTGATGATAAAAATTAAAGATAAATGTCTATTTTATACATTTTAATTTGGACTTTTTCTTTTAATTTGAGATTTTTCTGCTTGAGTTATATCATAATACTTAATAAATAATTTAAGACAATATTATACTAAAATGTAAAAACTTAGGACTAATTTAGTTGTTAAGTCAACCTATAATATGTAAAGTTGTCTCAAATTTTAATTTTATATCTATAAAAGCTCAATATTCTTGGATAAGTTACATAATCTTTTAATATTGTTCAACAATATTATGCAACAAGATTACATGGAAATATTTTCTATTTTCAATTTCATATTTTGAAAATTGGATGATCTCAGTATTAAGGTACTTACATTTATTGGAGTACATATTTTTTTTAATTTGCATTTTTTTTAAATCTATATGCCGTCCAGAATCCATAGATGATTCATCATACTTAGAATCAACATCATCACCATATCGTGATGAAGTTACTGGTGATGTAAAGGTTATTGTACTAGATTGGTTATCTAAAAATTAAGATTTATAAAATAAATGGTTATTCTATTAAATAATTATTTTACTTGTTGGATTATTGACAATTGTATTAGCAGTATTTGATGTTTGAGAAGTAATATCTTGTCTTATCGGAGATTGATTATTATCCGTAGAACTTTTTGTAGATGAACATTTATTGTTTTTAACATACATTTTTAAAAAACTTTCAACAATTTCTTTAAATATTTCTTTTCTTTGAAGTTCATTAGTTAAGCCATTTTTTTTCATGGCCTCTACCAACATTTTAGTGCTTTGTTTAATCTCTTTATCTGAGTATTCTTGTTCATCATCTCTACCATTATAATAAGTGTTACCTGGCAAATATTCAAAGCTATTTACTCTGTCTGTATTAGTATTAATAGTAGAATCATGAAATTCTTTTGCAACCCATGATCCAGCAGTATCAGCACTACCCAAGGTACTATTCGATTCTTTACTACTCTCCGATGATTTTTGTTCATTGCTAGAACTAATTTTTGATTCTTCATATCTTTTCTCTTGCTGTTCAAAAATCAAATTAATATGTCTATTATTTAACTGTTGAATACAATTAGTATTCAAAGATTTTAATTTATGTACAACTGTTGATACTGACAATGAAGAAGCCATTGGTGAACGGCACTTTGGTAAAGTGTCACTTTTAATAGAAGTGCATTTTAATGCTTCAAATGATGCTGATTTTTGGTTTTTAGGTATTACTAATTCATTTAAATTAGTCAGTGAATTACTTTTTGTTATCATGCTCCTTTTTTCTCCACATTCAATTGAAGTCGAATTAGCATTATACATAAGGCTATTCACAGCAATCCTTTCTATAGTACTCATATCTTGATTTTGTAGTTTTGGAGTAATATCATATCCAACATCAGCTCCGCTATCCCATTCCAGTGGTCTTGTTGAGCAGACACTAGAAGGAGAAGAAGCATTTAATAGTTTTGGTATTTCCAGCATACTGTGATCACTGTCTGTAAGAGATACATCATGCAAAAAAGGATCACAGGTAGAATTGTTGTCATTCATGTTTATAAAATATTTTGATGATTTCAAATTATTAGGATTAGTTAAATTAATATCATCATCAAAACTATCAAAACTACAAGGCGAAATAATCACGTCTGAAATAACACTTTCAAAATCTGATAGTTCAGACATTAAAGAAAAAAAATTACTGAAGACTAAATATTTATATTTTCATGGTTGTAAATTTCACGCAATCAAAGTAAAAATAATTAAATAAATTACTATTATTACATTATTGTATACATTATTATTACATATATTGTTGACGGACGAAAGACAACACTAACGGACTTCTGCATTTTAATTAATGATAACAAAATTGATAAGAAAAAAGATAAATAGGTTCCCACAATATAGTTCCGAGAACAATAAACATTTTTTCTTATTTATTGAGGCTGGGTTTTTATATATTTATATAATAAATTTTACCTAAAAAAATGTTGTAATTTAATTTTTATGGTCATTGAAGAGAACGTTTTTTGTTAATTTTCGCTTACAAATATGCGTTTTATAAAGGAAGCCAAATAATAATCTAGAAAACATTCCAGGTCTAGTCACTCAGTGATTTAACTAGATCAACAACTATCTTATTTAGAACAGAGGGGGACTGGGGGCCGCGACCCCCTACCAAGCCCATACCGTATTAATAAAAAAATGTATATTGTTAACAAAAAATGCATATTATAATATGTACTATCAAACGACTCACACAAGTATGTAGATTGAGCCATGAGGTATGACGGTTGAAAGGAGTTTCTCCACACTAAGGAGACTAAAAACCTGCCCTCGTTCAATGATGACTGAAGATAGACTATCAGCATTATGTCTAATTAATGTACCATAAAGGTATATCATAAAGTAGATATTCTAGATCAAATAAATCATATTATTGATATTTTAGCAAATTTTAAAAATAGAAGACTTAAATTTGTGTTGTAAAAATATTTGTTTACTTTTAGTTATAAGATTTTGTATAATTATAACTTGCCCTCCTCTAACCAAGACTCTGGAGCTGCCCCTGATGTAGAATAATTATTTCTTATACCTGTATTAATATACAAAAAGAAACTATGAGGTATATAACAAATGGTATAGTACCTTACATTTGGAGGGGAGCTGAAGCTCAGGTGGATGTTTTTATGTCATAATAAAACATATAGTGAAATCATTATATTTGGGGACTAATTAGCCTTTCTATTTGTGCATATGACTATTACACTGTTTAAAATCCATTATAACAGGAGAATAATAATTCATAAGTTTCAAATTTGTGGATTTCTATTATTTCCCATCAATTTTTTTGAATTGATTTATTTTTACAACTGTCGATCATACCTATGTCCTTTTCTCTCAAATAATTAATACACTCCAACATGGTACAACACTTTATTTTTAATTTCTTACATTGAGATTATTTATTTGACCTTGATACAAGTCATACAATTCCTAACACAGCAATACATTCTACAACTCTTGTACCATCATTCAATTATAATAGCATAAAACAAAATGTGTACCTAATTAAATTAGATACATCATGTAAATCCTTGGATATCCTCCAATGGGAGTTACAAAATTCATGTCCATGTCCTCTTCTAAAGCGGGTGGGGGAGAGCTGTCACAATCTAACATTTGTGTAAAACGCATTAATAAAAATCTAGTAAATAGTAAGGAAAAAAATGTTCAACATTAATAATCAATGTTACTTGTTTAGTTACTAACCAAAATAAATTAAACAATTACAAAAAATAATTATAACTACCTAAAAAATCCATTTCCATTACAATTGTTTACTCTTTAATTTTCTTACACATCTCAACATGATAGATAAGGTAATTAATTGAATCAAGAATCAAAATAATCATAGTCATAATATAAACGAGTACAGTGGTCAGTAACCAGTGGCCCATATCTGACCTACACTTTTTTACAGCCCACATTGAATTTCAAAACTAAAAAATTTAATTGAATATCATAAAATTAATTATTTGAATTGTCAGGCCTGCAACCCTTTTTAATTTATGAATGGCCCAACGATCTATAAAGGAATCAACCACTGATTTAATGGGTATTTAAGTTTAAATAAAATAAACAACTCAAATAATGGCATAATTAGGATTTACAATTTTAATTAATATCAAAAATAAAAGTAATATTTTAGTTCTATCCTCTTTTTTAAGTGATCATTAGGAATTGATATGTTATAATCAGGGATGGACAAGATTCAATATTGGAATACCTTGATTATAAATTGATTACATATATATAACATTTTAGAGTTTATTATTATTTACTTTAAACAACAAATATTATTGCTCACTACAATATGATATTGAAAAAATACAAATAATAATATTTGTAATTTATACAGCCAATTGATTATTTAATAAAAAATATATTGAAAAAAAATACAAAAATAAAAATAAAATTTATAAGTAATATTGTAATGCTTTTTATAAAAACTATGCCTGAATGAAGAATTGAACAGTTTTTCAAATTTAAGTCATAAAATAAATATTGAAATTCTTTCAAATATATATAATTTCCTTTTATTCTGGTATATACAATTCACAAATACATAACTGTTTTAATATACAGCATCATATATATTGTACAAGGTCAAAATACTTTTCAAAAGTATAACAAGATTTAAAATACAAATGTATCTAAAATACTGTCCATCTCTGTTTATAATTATATAAGAATACATGTCTAAGAAAGTCTAATATTAATAAATTATAGCATTATAAAGATTTTTTTATCAAAATGTAATATTAAGGGTAAACCAAATTAATTTGACTTCAATCACCATATACTATTTAAAATAATAATTGAATTAAATGTTTAAATTAAAAATTAAGTAACCATTCCAAACTTTCAAAATGTAATATAATATTATAGCCAAAATTCAATTTATTGTATTAAATTATAATAAAAATTAAAATAACAATAAATATTCTTATTTCATTCAAAATATATATAAATACACATACTCATACATTATAATTTTATGCATCACAATTTAGGATGAGAATCAGGTGGTTTAGGTTCATTGCTATCAGTTCTATCTCTTTTATGTCGTTTTTCTTTTTTATATTGCCCTTTTTTAATGAATTTCTCCCAGTTTCTATGATTAAGCTTTGAAAAATCATCAAGTTTGGAAATTTCAACCAAGTATTGAGCCAAGTACAATAATTCTTTGTCCATTTCCCAATTCAAATGAGCTTCTCTAAATGGACGAATTTTCAGACCATTTTTTGGATTCATCAAGAAATTACGTCGAATATCGTCAAACATAATTGTATTATGTTTATTATAGTTATTTGGAAACTTGCCCCATATCACACCTAATGGCTTTACCTTCAAAACATACACATTTATGAATTAGATACATTTTAAATTTAATATTATAAAAATTTAAAAAAATAACTTACAGAAACAACCCCATATTTAGGAGTATGTACAGTAATCATTGCAGCATTATCTAAGTAAAACATTATTTTATATGCAACATTATTGGTTACATTTAAAACAGTCATCTTACGTTCTATCCAACGCATATCAGTTGCAGACCAAATTACAATATCATAATTCTAGATAAATCAAATAATTATTTAAAAATTAATAATTAAAGAATATATTTAAAAAAAATAAAACAATTTACTTCGTAAGCTGATTCTAAGAAATCATGTAAATATGGTCGCATTAGTTCTAATCCACTTTCTGCTGCTGATCTATGATCAAACAGTGTATAATCAATATCAAGAACCAATAGTTTTTTGCCAGGTCTAGGATCATTAAGCATTTTTATCTAGTAAAAAATTAAAAAAATAAGACTCATTCATATAAAATGTGTTTAATATTTCATAATAATCTAATAAGAATAACTCAAAATTACCTCATAATTATCAACTCTATTTTGTACTTTGGCTAAATGAATTTCCATTTTGTCAACACGTTCTTCATCAAAATCTTCTGAATCATAGCTTTTACATTTTCGACCTTTTTCTCTTTTAGGTGGAACCACACTAGCTTCTGCTATGTCTTCTTCTTTTGAACCAACCATCATAATTTTTGTACCAGTTTTAAGATTTATAGTATTCAATAAACATTCATCTGGTGCCATTTTACCTAAAAAATATATTTCCATAAGTATTGTAAATCTTTAATTTTTTTTAAGTATAAAAATGTAATAAGTATGAAAAATCAATAATGTTAAAATAATTTAAATATATTATTTATCTATATTAAAAGAGAAAAACATTAGTTAGGATTATGTAAGTTTTGAAATAATTATAATATATTTAATATATATTATAATTCTAAAGTTAAAAACAGTTTTTTTTGAGTATTCATCATTAAATAATACCTAAATAATTTAAGTACATGGAACCTAAGGCATATTTAAAGTATTTTTAAAAATTAAATATTTTAAATAATTTTTAACAAAAAAAAACAAATAGACATTTTAACTATGCAATTTAATTTTAATCAAATTATTTATACACCAATGGATTCTAAGCTACATAAATATTTTTTATTATTCTTTTATCATTTGAGGCTATAGTGTAGTTTAAAATTGTTTTGTATATATATATTAAATTTTAAATTTTGTAAAAATATAATGATTTACAATAATGGCGAATGATTTGAGACAAGGCATTTTATAAAAATATGTAATGATTTTGTGATGAAAAATATGTATATGATTAATTTAGTAATATTTCAATTAGTCATATAGTATTTAGGATTTGTAAATTATAAAAAATTTTGTTTTCAGGAGGGATTAAAATGGACAAATGAAGTGTTCTTTTGCTGATCGAGGAAAAAAATATCTTGAGTATCTTTATGTGGTTCAAAAATTAAACATGAAGAAATAAATTGAGGTAGAAAAAAATTATGATTGGAGCCTTCTAACACTACTGACATATATATATCATATGAAATTCAATATGAATGGTAATTAAAATAATAGAAGATATCAAGATTAGTTAAAATTAATATAAGTACAAAGAAAAGGACATAATTAGAATAAAAAATTAAAGTATCATGACTTGACTAGATTTCTACATGTTCATAGCAAACATTAAGTATTCAGCAATTTACTATTTAACTTTTAATTTTAATAATTTTATAAGAAGTTCTCAGCCAAGAATATTTAAAATATTACTATTGTAACAGATGTTAAATATATAGCAGTTAAATTAGAGTTTTTGGAGTTTTGGATCAAATTATTAATGACAAAAATATAATTTAATAAAACAAAATTAAAAATTAAATAACAATAAAAATAGATGAAATTATAAAAAGTTAAAAAATTTTAACAATTTATAAAATATAGGTTTAAGCAATAGTTTTTAAATAATAAGAAATAAATGTATTACCTATATCTACTGATAAAACTTCTGTTAGTAAAATTATTGGATAACAATTATTAAAATTTAAAAATATTATTTATTATTATTATTAATATTATACACACTCTGATGGTCTCAAATTATTTTAAAATATATTTATGCAGTCATAAATATATATATTATTGATATTTTAAAAATAAAATAGAAAAAATAATTTTTTCTTATTATTAGTCAAAAAAATAACGTTTATATTTTACTTACCAGATATTCTTAAATTGATAAGCTTTTGCCTTTCTGGCCTTACGCCAGTACATTTAAATATTTCTTCTTTTAACGTTTTCACATCGCTATTGGTGTTCAAATTTTTTACATCATAATCATTACCATTCCATTTTATTACAATGTCCAAGGAACTGTCCGAGGACTGCTCCTCGCATTCCATGTCTTTTCCTAGGCTATCCAGTGGTGGGGCAAGCATAGTAAATAGTCTAAAACAATTTGTTCTTAAAAGTATATAATAATTCGTAATATTAAATCATTTTGTTCAACTACAGACCAATGGTCAAATAGAATGTACATTAAAAAACCAAAACACAACAATAAATCTGAAATCCAAATTTTGTTATTGTGATAACTTCATTACAATGCATACCTGATAGCACGCAGTGCAGATATTAAACGGTTTTAAAAGTTTTCTGAATTTTAATTTATACTTCAAAATCAAGAATGGATGTTAATACTATATTAAACATTGAACATATTTTACACATCAGTACAATAATACTAATTGCTGTAATTTCAATCAACACAATTTAAAGTGAATCTAATTAAAAAAAAAAATAATACATTTCAACTCAAATACTACATACTGTACACACTGTGTTTGTAATTTTGATAAAGACCTTGGAAACTTTATTAAACAGCTGACAATTATGGGCGAAAATCTCATGCACATCATTCGACTTCGACAATTTATAAGCGAACATTATTGCTTTCTTGTGTTTTTAAATTTTCTAACTTTTGGTTAGAAAATAATGACATTTGGTACGATGAACGCCCAACAAGCTCATAAGGAACATGTTTTGGCAGTTTCGAGGGATTTTATTTCGCAGCCGAGACTTAGTAAGTATATAATATAACCAATCAAATTAGGGCGTGTCTGACTAAGTTTCTTACACTATTAATATATTTAAACAATTTATTAAATAGCATATTAAAATATTTTTTTTATACAAAAAATAATATATCAATAATTTTGATTGTAAATTGGGACCTGATTAATATTATGAACTTACAAACTTATGGATTGTAAAAATTATTTGCTTAACAGCTCTTGTGTTTGCTAAAATTCTTGTGATACATATAATAATTACTGATTATTATTTTCGCTGGATTTTTCTTCTATTTATATTTATTTCAATATGAATTAAAATGTATAGTATTCCTATTATATATTATATACTTCTAAGTAACATTAGGTTCTGAATAAAATTTAAAAAATAAAATGAAACATGCAATTCCTTTACAATATTTTTTACTTATTGTACCATTTTGGGTAAAGGTTTGAATTTAAATACCCACAAATCATTTAATTCTGTAGGTATTTTAAATTTTAATATTTTAAGAATAATATAAAAAATATATAATAATAGTCATTAAGTGGGCGTGGTTATTTTTTATTCCACATTTAGTTTAAATCTTGTTATATTCTTTAGCATATAAAACAGTTTCTGGTGTTAATGGCCCATTGGTAATTTTGGATGAAGTAAAATTTCCCAAATATGCTGAAATTGTTCAACTGAGACTTCATGATGGTACTCTTAGATCTGGACAAGTGCTTGAGGTTTCTGGTTCCAAAGCTGTGGTTCAGGTATAAATTTAATATTTACTCATTATTTTAATCAAAAAATTTGCAATGAAGAGTTGTGATTGTAGGTATTCGAAGGTACATCGGGTATTGATGCTAAACATACTCTTTGCGAATTTACTGGAGATATTTTACGTACACCCGTTTCTGAAGATATGTTGGGTCGTGTTTTCAATGGCAGTGGAAAACCTATAGATAAAGGACCTCCAATTTTGGCCGAAGATTATTTAGATATTCAAGGTCAACCTATTAATCCTTACTCAAGAACATATCCTCAAGAAATGATCCAAACTGGTATTTCAGCTATTGATATTATGAATTCTATTGCTCGTGGACAAAAGATTCCAATCTTTTCAGCTGCAGGTTTACCACACAATGAGGTAAGTATATTTTTTCAAATAATTATCATTTAAATATAATTTGTTTATTTATGATAATTTAAAAATATTTTGCTGAATTAGATTGCTGCTCAAATCTGTAGACAAGCTGGTCTTGTAAAACAACCTGGAAAATCAGTTCTAGATGATCACGAAGATAATTTTGCCATAGTATTTGCTGCTATGGGTGTTAATATGGAAACTGCCAGATTCTTTAAACAAGATTTTGAGGTAAATTTATTACCAAATTCATTTAAATATATTTAATTCAGTTTTAAATTTTTAATATCAGTAACAAATATTTTAAATCAAATATCGTAGTAAATTATTGAACTTAAAATAGTTTATGTATCAGCAGTAGCCTAACCAAGCACAAATATTGGTTAAATTATATATATGACAGTTATGAACATTGTATAGAACTGTTAAACATACTGTATAACATTAGTATTAGTTTGAAGTTCTGTTGAATGTATATAATTATCTCAATTTTTTTTTTTTTTAGGAAAATGGTTCAATGGAGAATGTTTGTTTATTCTTGAATTTGGCTAATGATCCTACTATTGAACGTATTATTACGCCTCGACTTGCTTTGACTGCAGCTGAATTTTTAGCTTATCAGTGCGAAAAACATGTGTTGGTTATATTAACTGATATGAGTTCTTATGCTGAAGCTTTGCGAGAAGTTTCTGCTGCTCGAGAAGAAGTACCTGGACGTCGTGGTTTCCCTGGTTACATGTACACTGATTTGGCTACAATTTATGAAAGAGCTGGTCGAGTAGAAGGCAGAAACGGTTCTATTACTCAAATACCTATTTTAACTATGCCTAATGATGGTAACTAAAAAATGATTTTTATAAAAACATTTTTTCAAGTGCATACTAATTAATAAAATAATATTTAGATATTACTCATCCAATTCCTGACTTAACTGGATACATTACTGAGGGTCAAATATATGTTGATCGTCAATTACATAACCGTCAGATATACCCACCAATTAATGTGTTGCCATCTTTAAGCAGATTGATGAAATCAGCCATTGGTGAAGGAATGACTCGTAAAGATCACTCAGATGTATCAAATCAATTGGTAAGATAGATATTATAATAAATTTAATTGTTATCATTTAAAAAATTTTTTATTTTATAGTATGCATGCTATGCAATTGGTAAAGATGTGCAAGCAATGAAAGCGGTTGTAGGAGAAGAAGCTTTAACACCTGATGATCTTCTTTATCTTGAATTTTTAACTAAATTTGAAAAAAATTTCATTACACAAGGTTAATATTTTTATTAAATTTTAATTTTAAATTTTTTACTTTTATTATTCATTTTAAACAATTAACTTTTTTATTTAGGTAATTATGAAAACCGTACAGTATTTGAATCTTTGGATATTGGATGGCAGTTATTACGTATTTTCCCTAAGGAAATGTTGAAGAGAGTTCCAGCATCTACACTAGCCGAATTTTACCCAAGAGACTCCCGTCCAAAATAAACTTCTATGTAAGTAAAAATATTTTTACTCTTCTTTCTAACTACTATCTAATAGTTAATTTGGGTGTCGTTGGTTTATTTTTAAAAACCTTAACTTAAAATTAACTAAGTTGTAAAAAAAAAAAAGTTGACAAATCAAAAAATTTTACTGTGGAATTTGATTTAAAAAGTAGTTCATTGACGATATATCAATGGTTCTATTTCAATTTAATATGATCATTAATTTAGTTGATTAATATTTTTAAAATTTAATTATGTTACAGATGAATATTATAAACTATTAATTATCAAAAATCCTGTATGTTCATTCGTCATTGGTTCATCTTGTACATTCCATTATGAATAAAAAAATAATTACCTTATTTTTTAAAATAGTTATAAAATGTAGAAAATAGTTTATACAATTCCCAATAAATAAGAGTCTTCATAAAAAATGTAATCATTTTAAAAATTTGTAGTAGTATTTATTATTTTATTATAAGAATTATTGATAGTATTTAATATTGTAATATTTCAAAATGGGAATGCAAATATATTAGATTATCAGCATAATAATTTATAATAGAATAATATGTTAATTATCGTTGAGGTATTTTACCTTTTTTTTTTTTGTTGTTGTGAAATTATTATTATATTCTATTGATTAAAATTGGTTTATAAAAATAATTCATTGTTGTCAATCTTAATATTCAAAAAATTAAGCTACATTTAGGAGGATGATTGGGATAATTATAGAAATATGTTCTTAAATTGAAATAAAAGTTCATTGTTTACTCTTTTTTTCATTCTTAATTATATTTAAGGTTATATTGCAAACATTTAATGAAATCCAAATACTTAAGATAATATAAGATAGAAGTCTTAATTTTCCAGTTAAAATTTTTTCCTTCCATGTTTAATTTACACACAGCTTAAACTTATATATATATTTTTTATTCCAACATATAGTTCAATTTTAATGAATTTTACTAAACATTAAATATAAGACGTTTATGAAAGATGATTTAATCATAAAATTTAAATTTCAAATTTTATTATTTCAATGTTGATTAAATTACCTATAATAAAGTGTTGATTAAATAATGATAAATTGGTTTTATTTTCAATTTATATGAATTATTTGTTAGTAGTAATATACATTTATTTAATAAAAATCTGCATGTATAAAAAATTGTATAAAATAATCATTCTATAAATGGGAAAATAAATTATATAATTTTATAATATTCTTCACATAATGAAGTTCTGTAAAATATTGATTACTATATGTTGTATTATTGAAGTTGAAGGAAATCATTTAATATAAGGTCAAATATATATGAATAAAGTTAAACTTTCTTTTATATTCTTACATTTATTTAAATAAATAATTAAATTAATCATACAGTTAAAATTGGTCAATATCCAGTTATTTTTTTGTAAAACTTCTTTAGACATATGAATAGGTGTGGCTTATTAGGCTATAGTCACACCTCAGACCTTTTTTTGGGTAGGCCATAGGAATCCGGTATTTAGGCAAAAAGAGTCAATAACTCTTTTTTATTGGAAAATCAAAAAAAAAAAAAATTATCAGTTGTGTCATATACATTTTTTGTGACTAGGGATCATTGATATTAAATATATTTTATCACACTTCGGACGGTAAGTTCTATATAAAATATTTTATTTATTGAAAGCTCTGTAAATTATGTGTTATTATATGTCTATGATTGTGTTTATTAAAAAATTATATATTTTTATCTTGCTAAATAATTTACTGAGAACTTATAAATTAAATGATATTTATTTTATTAGACATAAACTATGTAAAACAATACCATGAATTAAAACAATTTTAGTTGATTATAATATAGTAAAAAATTCCTATTTTAACATAATTTATTGTTATAATTGAGTTAAAAAATAAATTTATCATATTAAATTGTATTAAATTAAAATATTATGGATTTATATTAAAATATATTATGTTATATGGATTTTAAATTTAAGAAATTTAAAAAATGTATTTTTGATATCTATCAAGTATATTCAGTTTATCTAAGCATTATAGCTTTAGATTTTTATATAAATAAAATTCTTATAATTTAAAACGTTATTCAGGTATAGAATACAAATAAAAAATGGAAATACATTTATTTATTTCTATAAGGCAGTGGTTCCCAATCCATAGGCCATGGCCTACTCGTGGGCCGTGAACCATATTATATTAACATTACTTACATATATTTGTAAAATATTAAATATCAGCAAGTGAAGAAGATTCGTTGATTGAACTTACATGTGATCAGACTCTAAAATCTTAAAATAGTTAAATATTCGGCAAGAATTTCTAGCAATCTCTAAAATCGCACTTAGAATCTTGATGGGCTATATTTTGACAACCTGTGTGTCTGTCTGAATGAAAAATCACATTAAGTTGTTTAATTTTTGAATAATCTGGTTCAATGAATTTTTTTTGTTTGATAAACAATTGTTTTTTAATAAACTGTAATAACTGTAATAACTGACGTATGTGCACATTTTACATTTATAACTATTGGTGGACCTCAAAGATTTTCTACGAAATTGGTGGTCCACACTACTAAAAAGGTTAGGAACTGCTGATATAAGGTATTCTAAGATTATATAAGATTTTATTTTTATATATAAGCTTGTAATAGTTTGAAACACCTTCAATGATTTTTTTTTTTTTAATTGTTTTTTTACTAATAAAAAAATGTAAGAATATCAACTAAAAATGCGTCTTTGTATAATATTAATAAAAAATAATAATTTTCCATTCTTGTTATTCAAGAAAAACATTTTTTTTTTTTCAGTGAAAGGCTTGATTTTTATTATATGCATAATATACTTAGCTATCCAATAAAGAGATAACATTGATATATCTGACAAACTTTTATGACTGTCATTTATATTTTTTTTTTTATATATTCAATCTGACATTAATTTGGGAGTCGTTTTTGATGAAATAAAATGTGACTATATCTAATTTATAATACAATACTATTATATAATGTCTTGATGTATTTTTTGTATATTTACTATTTTACTAGGTATTACCATAATAAGTTCTATTGTTATAACTATATACATAATCTATATATATATATATACTATAGTTATAACTTCATATAGAGTTTCCTGAAGCAGACATCATCATATGACATTAAAACATATAATAAATCAGATAGAGTAACATTCAAAATAAAAATAATGGTTCTCAATATCAATAAAATGGATTCCATTAATTAAGTATATATATAGAATATTAGTTAAACAGTGTAATACATAATTTATATTTATGTATGAAATCATTTTTTCAATGGTAGGCACTGACTAATTTTTTTATAATTTAATAATTTGTAAATTTAGTGACAAAAAAATAACAATAACAATTTATGAATATCCTAAGTAATCCTGAGTAATGGCTAATAGCTTATTTCTATTGATTGAAAATTAATAATAAATAATAAAAATATGGATGTTAATCATCGTACCTATTTAATTACTACTTGAAAAAGTCAATTTATTACACTTTTTTACTATGATTTAAATTTTTATATAAAAACAATTTTATTTATTTAGTATTTAATTATTATTTAAATATAACTATTAAACTATTAAATAATAATTTAAAATTGTTTTGTTGATTTTGATAACTCTTAATAAGCAACTGATCATTGACCAGCTCAAGCAGTATGTTATTAAAACAAACAGAAGCATCAGAAATATTTTTATTTTATAAATCATTGCTGTAAATATAAAGGTCAGTAATTAGATCTCTGTTATTTCTTTAAATGGAATAAAAGAAAGATGAAAATTGTAAATGTTTTACCATCAATAGTTTCTTAAATAGGTTTGGTTAAGTAATAAACTATACTCTAGAGCAGTGTTTCTCAACCTTTTTACCACCCCGGACCACTTCGATAATATTTTTTAGGTCACGAACCACCTCAATTTTACAAAAACTAGGAACTAGGAAGACTTTTTTTTTTTTTTTTGTTCATCAACAAGAATACACAAAATTAATCACATGTGTTAATTTATTAATTTATGTTACATTTTATTACTATACTATAACTAATTTTTCTAGTTTTGATTGCAAGATTTAAGTATTATACTTTTAATTAATTCTTAATAATATTTTTATAAATCAAAAATTACATTTTAATGAGTACTTTCTAGTTAATTTTTAACAATATATTTATAAATAAAATATTACATTTTAATGAGAGCGTTGTGCTTGTTTTGTTTTAACAATTTTATCAAATCTTGGTTCCACTGTAGTTGTCAAAGATACACGTAAACTATGTGTGGCATCGAGCCTATTTCTAGTTTTGGTTTTTATATGGGTCATTCCAGAAAATCCAGCTTCACATAGATATGTCGAAGAAAATGGAAGAAGAATTTTCATTGCTTTTTCGAAAAGCACGTAATGCTCGTCCTTGAGTTCAATCCAAAATTTGGTTACAGACATTGTATTAAATTTAGATTGTAGACCAATATCTGATGATATCTCTAACAAAAGTTCTTGTTCTTTTAAACACAATTTATGTTGAGAGTTTGTTAAAAATGGATTTTGTACCCACAAATATCCGTCTCGTGGATCTTGATTCACTGGATAATAATCTTCAAACGTATCATACAATGATTGCAAATGATTTTCGATAGTAATTTTGATATTACTATCGATCTTTAACTCATTAGTTTCTATAAATGATGAAAAAGATTCAAACATCTCATAGTTTCTTTCTTGAATAAGCGTTATCCACAACTGTATTTTTTTTTTAAATGCATAAACTTTATTTAACATGGTGAAAATTGTTGTGAGTGGACCTTGTAAACTTAAATTAAAGGTATTTATTAAGTTAAAAATATCAGATAAATAAATACATTTTGCGATCCATTCAGTATTTTGAATAATTGAAATGTAATTACTTTTCTTTTGAATTAAAAATAATTCAATTTCTTTTCTTAATTCAACAAATCTATTCAGGACTCTACCACGGAATAATCACCGAACCTCTGCGTGCATCAATAAATGAGAATTTTCAGATCCCATTTCCTCACATAAAATTAAAAATAATCTAGAATTTAAGGCATTACATTTAATAAAATTAATTATTTTTACTGCCTCAGTCAATACTTCATTCAAAACAGGTGACATTTTTTTCGCAACTAAATGTTGTTTATGTATAATACAATGTATATGAACAAAATGTATGTTTGCTACATTTTTAATTCTGGAAACTACACCAGAATATTTTCCGGTCATACTTGCGGCATCATCCGTGCACACAGACACACAATTTTCCCAGTTTAGTTGGTTTTTTTTTAGATACTCATTTAATCGTTTAAATAC